ACACATTACATTACATTTGTTTGGAACGATATGTCATGTTTTACACTATAATATAATGCAATTCAATGTAAAACTACCCCAAGTATTCAGAAAAAGGTATTTGGATTAGACCATGTATCAGAATACTTTCTAAAATACTTACTTATACTAATATTTTAATTGGGGTACTCAGTATTCCGTAACTAAATACATTTTCAAACATTCTTCCCATCACAGTGTAAAACTGACAAAAACATGTTTCCCTATTGTGTGCAGGTTTGCAGGCTAGTATCCACCTGCTTGTCTCCATGGAAATGTTGTTTCTATGACTAGAATATTGCAAAGTATGGCATAAAACTGATCAATTTCCTTGGGGAATGCTCCAAATTATGGTTTTAGCTTTCCATGTACCAGTAACCATGCAGCATGGTGTTGCTTTAATCTGCGACACAATCTATGATTTATTTTATTCTTACAATTATTTTCCTCTCAGTCACTTTCTGACACCAAATTTAGAGGCAAGATGGATATAATTACACTCCACCAACTGAGCCACTGCCATCTCATTGTTATAATTTGTAACTTAAAAAAATAAATTGTGACCTCTGATAACTGGAAAGAAGGACAAGAAAAAGTACCATAGAAATGAAGTAAAAAGGTTGGAAAAGCAAAACAGAACAAGCCAGCAGAGCGTGGAGCCACAGATGGAATACACAATGAGGGGTCTTCAGACTGTGTGGCCATTTGACCCTGGCAGCTTAGCACTTAGCATCAACTACATGAATAAACAAAGCGCCCTAATTTCCCTTGGCTCCAACCATGTTAGAGTGTGAGGATTTGCTGTGTTTTTGTCATACACAAAATTAAATCTGCTAGGCTTTACAAACCACTGATAACATCTCAAAGGTCAAGGCAATTTTATATTTACAAGAATTTTAATCAAGCAAACTGTACAAAAATAAAATCATTGGCAAACTAAATTTTAAAGGGCCCATATTAAGCTATTTTCTGATCTATCTTGTTTCCTCACCACAAACATACCTGGAGTTTTGTTGTTTCATTCACACATGTTTAACACACAAATCCTGCACGTTTAGACAGAGTTGTCCAATGAGGTTCATTTGGTCTTTCGATATTTTATGTTATTAGGTTCTTTTTCAAACCAAGAGTTTGTTTTCATACCTGACCGTTTCGACTGTTCACTAGCGGTCTGTGTTGCTGTGATGTGTCCGCGCAGCTAACCTAATAACATTTAGACAGAGCTCTTCTCTCAAACACAAAACACTCATTTGGATAATTTCAGCCCTGAAATTGTCATTCTCTATGAAACAAAGGTAAAGAGTAGCTCTTAACTTGAAAACTACCGCTTCATGACATCACAAGGTGGAACAGAGCATTATGAGCTTTGGAGATGTAGACAAACTAATAATGCTCAAACATTATGATCACGTGAATGAAACAAAACAAAACACAACGCCGGGTATATTTTTGACAAAGAATCAACATTATAACATGACTTAAAGCTCACATCCATCAAATTGGCTTAATATAGTGCCTTCAAGCTTAAAATTATGTGGCAGAGAGACTGATTCACTGACTGAAACAAACAATCTCAAATGTTATGAGAGGTTGTTTTGTAATTTTCAATTAACTTCCATTTTCAAACATAAAAATAAGGTCATGGGCTTTGTATGTATGAAAACTTTGCAGCTCTAGATAATTAGTGGAACTGTAATTTGCTGGCTGTAAGGCAAATACACTCTACTCTGAGGTGAGAGGAGGTGCACTAAATATAGACAGAAGAGGCAGGATAAATATATTTTGATCAATACATAACCTGGGGATAGTGAACACAACACAGTATTGACTAGTCTGGGGCTTGGATTTGCTTCTATGAGTTTGAGTTTGTTAAATAGCTTTAAAACTTGATAAATATGCTAAGGTCAGGATTTGGGAAAATAAAAAAGTACAAAACAGATATTATGGGAACTAAAATACTGTGAAAATGTAATTATAACTAAAACAAGCCATACCAAAAAATCGTCTAAATTTGTTTTTACTTAATTGCATAATTAAGAAAGCTACTTCATAAAGTATATGAGTTTACTATCTGTATGAAGTGAGAAAGCCAATAAGTTACAAGAGGAAATAAGAAAAAATTATGAAATGATACATTTTTACAATGGAAAAAAAATACCATCTAAAGTTTTGCCATTAAAACTCTAAAAACACCACAAAAAACTACAGTATTTATAGCTTTAATTAAGCATGAAGCACTATGAAGCATGTGGACAAATTTACCAAGGATTCAGGCTTAGAAATGTCTTAATTAAAAGGTTAGGAGTCGGGGTATTTATTAAGTAGCTACTAAGCCTTAGTCTTTCTTATTAACCTAACTGAACCTATTTGTTCATTCTGAAGTTAGCGGCCTGACACTCTCTCATCATTCTTAGTAACAATGTGTCTGCCGGTAGTTTAGTTTTACCTGAGAAAATACTTTGTAAAATGAATTATATTATGCATGATTTTTTTTTCTTATTTAAAATTGCATTTTAAATTGCAATGCTAATCAAATACAAATGAAAAAAAGAAACAAGTCCGCTGACTTTCATGTAAGAAAAGTGCTTTGCAAATGGGAGTTGCCGTCACTATAAATGTTATCACAGCTGCCCCGCCGACTTTTGTCTTTAAATGCTTGTAAATCGTGTTTTTTTGTGGTGGCATTTCCAGTTCAACGAGGAACCCATTCATGTCAGTGGAGAATTTGGGAAAAACGTGTGCTTCGTAAATGTGACATAAAGTCAGTTCATTTGTGTAAAATGTTCAATTTTCATGTGCAACAACAAGTCAACACCGCACTGATTCTCTGGGGGGCTTGAACTTATTTGCTCAATATGTGAAGATCGACATACAATATAATACAACCTGAATGATGATGGCGGCGCCCATGGCAACTACCAGAATAAGGTGGACAGATAGCCCACAGAAGTATGAGATACACACATCACACTGGCTAACTGCAGATTTTTTTTCATTTGTACCAAAATGACTACCTGACACTGCTGAATCCTACATGTATCACACAGATTAAGAAAATAAAATGAAAGAACAAAGTTCACACAGAGCTGTGGGCGTATGTCAGTTGAAATGCCGGGAGTTGATTGTCAAAATGGCATCTTGAAAATAAACTATTAAAGATTTCTCAAACATGCCCAAATCACTCCAAATACAAGTTTGAGAGGGTAAATGAAAAGAGGAAACAACTATAACACAGTTAAAGCTCTGAAAAGTCATAACATGTCCGCTTTAAGATGTAGTTTTTATAAAGTTTTCCCAAATCTTCTAAGAGTAAAACAAATTATACTTTCTCTAACTTCTAACTTCTTCTCTAAGACTAAAACTCGTCACTTACTCCCATATGTTGCGTCAAACTAAAAGAGATTTCCTCTTTTGTGGCTGGATGTGCCGGGGCTGCTGCTATCAGAAGTCAGACTCACAACAAGCTGTCAAACCAGCTCCAAATCCACTTTCTACAAGGTGTTATCAAGATGAAAAACTCTAGCGACAAAATACCATGCTACATTCGGTGATACATCAAAAAAGGTTTTGATGGCAAGTTGAAAATATAATATTATTATTCCCCCACCAAAACCAAGCATGGTGGAGACCCCGAATTTGAATTTGTTTTTATACAGCGTGCCTATGTTTTAGAATGGCAAATACCTATTTTTATGTTGTTTTTGATATCTGATATCCACCTAATGGGCTGGGCGTGGTAATTTTACTGTTGAAAATGTCTCCTCTCCACAGAGTCTTTTCAAGCTACATATTATTTGCTCATGAAACCTTGATTTACTGTAAGCATACTCTTATTATTGCATAGATGTGTTTAGAAATGTCTTATGCTTAATGATTATGAACAACAATCCTTAAAGGTCCCATATTACGCTATTTTCTGATCATGTTATAATGTTGTCAAAAACATATTTGGAATTGTGTTTTGTTTCATTCGATACATACTTAGGCCAAGTTCCTCTCTAAAACCAAAAACACTCTGTTCTAACTTGTGATGTCACTGTGTTTTTAAACTCCACACACTTTCACTAGAATCATTTGGATAACGTCAGCCCTCCAATTGCAGGAAATGGAAGCAGTTTTTAGGAGTTTTGGTAATATTACTTCAGTTTGCCTTCTTGCCTCTTTGCCTCCTTGGCAATGTTGAACAGTCATGCCTCCTCCGAGGTGTGCCATAAAAAACTGTAAATTATAGTCATACTGGTTAAAAGAATTTGAGGACTATATTTTTCCAGTTTTGCTGAGCAAGATTTTTGTGAGGATGGAATTAATCGCCTGCCCCAAATTGCTGCTAAAATAAATGCCTGGTCTGTTAAGTGATTGAAACAAATAAAAGCCCCGGCTATTATTTAGTATTTTACGGCGGTATCGTATTTTATCCTAGCAAACATCTCCTGGAGAATAGCCAGTTTGTCCAGAAAAGTTACATACTGCACCTTTAACATGTTTCAGCTATAGGCTGTATATACAAATGGACACAGCTAACTCACTTGCCACCACTTTCCAAATCAGAAATGAGTATGGGTGCTCTTCTAGCTCTATTGACTCTGGCTCCAATTCAATTTGTAATGAAAAAAAAAAAAAAGTGCCCCTTTCTCCATAACTGCTGCTGTTAGACTCCTCATTTTGGTCTTAAACAGTTTGTATTAACCTGCTCTACATGATCCCAGGGCTTTTAGTTCACTGTTGTCCTTAAATCAATTCTTATTCCTAAGATAACTGCAAGCCTCAGTGAGCTTCATTTGACTGGAGCCGAACGCTATGAGTGACATCACTTTCCATTAGTCCACTTCTTTATACAGTCTACGGTCTCAGCCCAGCACGATTCATGGAAAAAAATATGAAAAGACTGAGGCCGAAATCAATCCGTGATGTGAATAGGCTTCCATGTGGGGGGAATAAGTGGTCAGATATTACAGCGGACATGAGCCTTGCATGGGGCATACCTGATTGGAGTATCTCATGCTGACGTTGCGCTGGTCCTGCCGCGGCACATAGCGGTGAATGGGGTCGATATCTTTCGGGCTAATTAGCTCGTCCACTGCAATGCACACAAAACGCCCACCCACACACGGTCAGATATAGAAGAGAGGAGAGATGGACACAGATACCAAAGAACAGCCACGACCATGACATGCCTAACAGCGTATAAAGGAAATCAATGCTTTATCATTAGCTTGCATTAGTGCAGCACAATAATATAATTGCGCACACATTATAGCTATGTTTAATGCGAATAAAAAAAGATAAGGAGTTTAGAATGCATTATGATACCAGATATAAATTACATTCTATGGCAGATTTATTAAGCCTGCAGTTTTAAAGATCTGATTTGCATTTTAATAAGCTATAAGATTAGTATTGTGAGAATGAAGAGGCCATATACCCAGCAGTTTGGCAATGTTGAACAGCGCTTGACCCCAGAGGAAGACCTTTCCGTCACGTCCGCAGTTGCTAGGGAAACGCTTCTGGCTGCCATGTTTGTTTTGTTCTGCCTCCACAAAGTCTGCTGGGACGTAGTAGTATTTGGGGATGATGGCGTGGCCTAGGATGAGGAAAAAATAATAATAATAATGTGAGATATAATGCAATACAATCCTGATCTGTTTTTAGCTATGACAACCACAAAATGAGGTCCTATATTGCACAAAATTTAGCCACGTTTAAATGCTGTTACCTCATCAAAAACATACCTCAAATTGTTTTGTTTCATTCACACATTTGAGTAACCATTTATTATAATTTATTAGTCTGTCTACATCTCAATATGCTCTGTTCCACCTTGTGATGTCATGAAGCGGTAGTTTTCAAGTCAACAGCTAACTCTTTTGCCTTTTGTTCAGCAGAAATTGGCAGTTCCAGAGTTGAAATTATCCGAATCATTGTAGTAAAGGTGTATAGGGTTTAAAAACACAGTGCAGCATTTCCTGTATACACTTTTTCTATTTAAGAGGAGAACCTAAATCAGCACTATTTGTGTGTGAATAAAACAAAACACAACTCCAGGTATGTTTTTGATGAGGAACATTAAAGCAGAGATTAGAAAATATTAGCCCTTTAAAATCCATTTTGTTCGAACAAAGCCAGGCTCAGATAGTAGAGGAAATGTGCATAATTAACATAAATGTGAGAAATTATAAGTTCAGCTATATATTGCCAGTGATCACGGGAGGTTTGAAAAATGCCCTTATAACCTAGCTATAACTCCACCGCCATCAAAGTTTATGGCTTCAACTTTACTTTTTACAATATTCTCTGGATAGTTACAGTAGTGCCTATAGTCTATACGTGTTCCAAATGTCATTACTTTTCTAATCTCATTTACACTGAATTACACATTTTATACTGTTCAAGTAAGGAATACACCTCTCATACATTAATTTATGCACTATAAACCTAGAACAAAAGGAAAAATGAAAACTTGAGTTGCCTTGCCTATTCTGATGATAAAGAATCTAGCCAATGATTCTTTGGATTAATCAATTAGTTGTTAGGATCATGAACCCTGTGAATTTGAGATCTTTTGCAAAATGTGTCCCAGTTGAAGCTTTTAAGATGGTTCTTGAGGACATCCTGATGGAGCACATTTGCAGAGAAGACCAGATAACAATTATTTGGTTACTAAAATAGTTGATGAGTATCAATTTCATTTAGTTGTAATGAATCAATTAAAGTTGTTCTATGTATCTTCTCTGGTGAAGGGTTCGTCTTCACCATCATCTTACTCCATGGTGTCAAGAAAATGAAGCTACCAGGCCAAGTTATAGGTTAGGTTAGTGAAGATGTGACACCGCTTGATATACAGTAAAATATCAAATAACAGCCGGGTCTCAGTTAACCACCAGATTCCCTTTAAACGCCGGGTGCAGGTGTATGTTTTGATAAATAACCGCCAGTTCCAAATAAATGCCGAGTCTATATAGAAAGTAGCCCATGCCGACAACCCCCGCAGTCGCTCTGGTCGCCGCCAAGGAGGTCGCTCAAGCTCTCATTTCTCATTTTTTGTGCTTTATTTAACCAAAATATCGTGATCAGTGCAGTGACACCACAGAGAGCATGATGTTTACAGCCTACATAGTAGCAGTTCGACTTCAGGTCAGTCCTCCCTTTATGAGGTTGTGTGACTTGAAATAGATAGCGTATATATTCTTTTTAAGAGAACAAAAGAAAAAAAAAAGAACTAAAATCAATATCAAAAAGTAATTTCAATAATTTGGTCCAATATGTAACCAAATATATATACTATTGTATCGTATGTGTTGTGTGTACATGAGCTTATAAACTCATCACAGGGAGTAATTAGGTTGATAATTCATAAGGTAAATGAGGAATAACTTTATGTGTACTCTTTTGGCATAGGCCAAAATAAATATTGGCCTATGCTGGAGTTATAAAGCCAGTGCGCTAAAAAGTGCAACTATCGGCTCGATATATTATCCTACCGTCATTTTAAAGAAGAAACAGCACCTTTACAAACAACAAACAAGGCAATTAACCCCACTGAAACGCATTCTATCAAGGTGTCTCCCCTCGCTCGTAATACTTCACAGTTTGTTACCCTACGCGTACACAGTGGATGCAGTATTCCAGGCAAGTGAAAAATACTTAAAGCCCTCCAATTAACTTTAAGCTGTTTGTTAATTCACACATATCCGCTACAAAGACACGGTCGAGGCATCTGGGCCGACTTAAATGAGTACATCATTATCCTCTCTTCTCTCCAATTCTTCCTGTACTTCTGTGTATGGACTCAAAGCTGCTGACATCCCTATCATTTGACTATCTCTCCCCTGCAGGTACAGAGGAACGCCATACTGAAAAAGGCTGACTTCATTCGGATGTTACGCCCTTCTGAATCTCGGTCACAGTATGAGCTCTATGAATATGGATGAGTGGGTTTAATAAGAGAAAAAGTTTGCGGTGCTAAAGAACGACAAGGAGAATAGAAATATATACATAACTTATAACTATATATATAAAACTTCTACTCCATTGTGTGATCTATAGTATTTCTCACCTTCATTTGAGTGGAAGATGATAGGTTCAAGCAGCTCCTGGTACTCTTTGACTTGGGCCTTGTTGCCTCTGAAGATACCTGCAATACACAAACAAGAAGAAATACTTAAAGGGTGCATATTACGCTATTTTCTGATCTGTTACAATTTTGTTTCTTCGTCAAAAATACCTAGAGTTGTGTTTTGTTTCATTCACACATGTTTAACCTACAAAGTCTACATATTTATAGGCTGAGTTCTTCTCTCAAAACTCTGTTCCACCTTGTGATGTTATGTAGTAATATAAGAATCTTCACTAGAATCAGATTGATGGATTGAGCCTTGGAATTGCCAGTCTCAACTAAACTAAAGGTAAAAGGTAGCTGTGAAAATTAAAACTACTGCTTCATGACATCACAAGGTGGAACAGAGCATTTTGAGCTTGAGAAATGTAGAGGGACTAATAACAAATGGTTACTCAAACGTGTGAATGAAACAAAACACAACTCCGGGCATGTTTTTGAGAAGATAACAACATTCTAACAAGAGTCAATTTTGCATAACATAAGACCTTTAAACTGCACCAAGGTTACTGCAAATAAAACTTAAGCAATTATATTTATACAAGTGTAAATACTTAAATAATTAAGGGATGTTAAACAATGAAAAGTAGTCACAACAACCAAAGTACTTGAAGTGAAGTGCCATCACCGTTCTGAGAACTCAAGGTCAGCAATAAACACAATACAAAAAGAGATTAAGCCTATGAGGAAATTAGTATAAGAAGGATTTTTAGCAATGATATGTAGCTTTATCTAACGAATACTCTGTAAAATGTTATAGCGTAATTTGAATTGTAAGCATTTAAAGGAACTGTACCAGATTTTTACATATAATAAAGTAAAAAGTTTTGCTCTTACAGTGAAAATAAGACTGGGGTATGATGTTTATTTTCCTCGAAGCAGGAAGTGAGCCGTTAACCTAATGCCTAACCTAATATTTTTGTTAGATTTATTGTGGCAGTAAATTTTGCTCAGTGAATACGCAAAATACTTTAGGAAAGTGAGGAATAATTTTGGACCACTGCAAACATGAACTAGTTCTATTTATCACGTTTATCACAGTAAAATCAGGTACAGCACCTTTAACTGCAAGCATGTTAGAGTTAATTTATTTTTGAAAAGGTAAGAAACGTAATATATAGTTTCCATACTTGAAAAGACTGATCTACTAATGTGGAGTCCTTGGGTAAATGGGAGCGTGCACTGCCTTGCCTATACATTGTTCCATGGGATTTATATAAAGAATGAGTGAATGTTATTTACAGTACAATAAACTTCAACTGTTGAACCTTGCATGTATTGAAGTCATAGTCCCATTTGATATCTAACCATTCCCATATGTTCCCTTCGTTGTATTTCTCCCACCTTGCAACCTTTTTCAAAACACCTATAAATCCTTCCAGAAAATGACAAAATGCAATTTCCTGTCAAATGCAACAAGTAGTGTTTCTCCACTTCCCAGATAACACACTGGAGGTGACATTACAGAGGCTGTGGATTCAACAAGACTTACCGTCAATCATCATGTAGATGAAAAATATGGGAAACTCGCACTCGATTCCATCAAAAAGCTGTGAAGAGACAGAGAGAAGAGGAATTACTGCTTTTCTATTACACCAGAGGGGACCAGCTCAAGGACTTTAGAGAAATGGGTGGCTGAACTTTAGCAGCAGTGAATACAAAACAGTATGCACTGCAGCGCTAAAGGAGAGGAGGGAGGTATAGAAGGGGGAGGGGGTCAATAAGCTCAGAATGTCCAAAGTTGTGTTATTGAATATTTGTTAGGGCTAAAAGAAAGTTAGCCACAAATATATAAACAACTTTTCAACTGTGCACCATTTCAAGAATATAAAGTCAAGCATTAATAGTAAAACATTCCTGATATATTTCAATATGTGACCAAATATTAGGAGCTGTACATGGCCTGTACTAATGCTGATTTTTAAAAGTAGCTGCAAACACAACTGAACCTGGGTTACCAGTGCCATCGGCCATGTCTCCTGTGAAAGCTCTGAACTTGCAGAATTCAACCCAAAACATGCACTACAGGTACAAACCTTTAGCTAAGGTAGTCCTGACTAAGCCTATAGATCAAGATCTGGATTTGGATCCACGTGCACTATACTGCAGTGCTCACTGCTCCTGAGGAGATGAAGAATGGGCCAAATGCACAGAACAAATATCTCTACAAGACAATTAAGTGTACCTTACCTTTCTTTACTCAGTGAGCTGCAGAGGCTGCACTAACACTGATTAATGAGAACCCACAGATGTTGGGGTTTAGGTAGTGAGGACTCAGATCTGAGGGAGTCGTTTTAGGTTATGATCAACTGAATTTCAGCATTCAAACTGGCAACACAAATTAATTTTGTTTTCTGATAGGAGTATAGTCTTGAAAACAGAAACACCAAATTATAACATATCCATGTCCAATGACTAACAAACTGGTATTATAATTGTTATCAGTAAAACCTATTTGATTTGAACATGTCGACATTGTATCTGGGACACAGTTAATAAAAAAATCTAAATCTTACATACAGTTCCGTTAAGTAACACTACTGACTACAGTAAACATTCATTACAGCTATCCAAATCATTAGTACAGATCTATACTATTGACTTGAGCTGTGTTTAAACAAGCACAACTTGGCTTCCACACGAAGTCGCAAACTCCTTAGATTCTTGAACTGACAAATGAAGCGGTCTTTTCATTGACCTGGAACAAGTGAATAATTACTGGATGATAAACAAGTGCTGGCACTTAAGCACAACAAACAAAACCATATAACTCTCAGTCATATGATGTTATATTATGAATGTGACCAATAACTGTGATTAAGAAGCATGTCCAATAGAAACTGACCCACGTGCAGTTTAGTCAATTGCTACTGCCATTCACTGACCCCTGCAGCCCGGTACGTGAGCGCGCATCAGTTATGCTGTTGTCACTTTTCCAGCTTTTACCTTTAATTAAACCTTTCCTTCATGTATAAACACAGAGCCGTTGATTGACTACCTGATTGACTGACTGGATAATCAATCTGCACTAGGAGCCTATGTCTTATTGTGAAACTTCTCGGTCGGCTGAGCCTGGAGAACGGGGAGGCGGTGCGTGGCAGTGGAGGGAGACAATTTTGCACAACGTGAACTGATGCGATGAGTTGTTGCATTAATCTGTGAATCTTGCTCATCCAGAAATCCTATTATAGATTTCAGTCACCGTTCACACACAGGGCTGCGTTATGTGTCAGGGTAGGCTCCAGCAGTTATGACTCGGCCTGTCTGTTTCGGTTTTGTAATTAGACTTTTTTTTTTTAAAATAATCTAGCACAATTTTGTATCTATTCTTATATCAGCAAATGTCTTTGAATATGTAAAATGTAAATATAGTGTTTTGTGTTTTTGTAAAGGTTCTACAGTCACAACTGAACCTGAGTTCTGAGTTGTCAATAGGGGTGTAAAAATGATTAGGTTAATCGATAATCATGATTAATTCAGGTCACAAAATAATCATAAGGGCTAAAATATTACAATTGTGATCATTTTAGAGGCAAATTCAAATTATTTCAATTCAATTTATATGCCAAAAACATAACTCGTATATTGTGCTTTTCTGTAGCTATGTATGTCACAACAACTTTACTTTTGCATTAAAAAAGTTTGATTTCATAACTTCGGCCTAGGAATTGAGAAGTAGTAATGTATTAGAAAAAAAATTAAGGATTTCACATTTGTATTTTTATGTGTCAATAACCGTGAGTAATCAATAAATCATGATGTTTCTTCCCCGAAATATCGTACCACTAAAATTTTATATCCCCTAGTTGCTAATGCCTCTTAATCTGCCTCATTTGAATATCCCTCATTTGAAAGCTCAGAACCTCCAGAATTCACTCACTGAGCTGCAGAGGTTGCACTAGCACTGAATCAATCGGACAACTGGAATCTAAAATATGGTTTGGGACAACTATTCTCTTCGTAGAATATGGAAGTCCCTTTGGTTACTGATGTAGTACTACTTGTAAACAATCAATCATTGACTTTAAAGTTCTTACTGCGATCCCAGCTCCGTCCATCCATTCTGCTGCTGAGCCACTGAGCAAGATACGGTAAACCTCTTTCATACAACTGCAGAAGTCACTAGTGTGTAACCGTGGAGTAAATAAATAAAGGACCCAGTACTATAAGTGTCTAGAAAGGCGCTGTATAAATCCAATCCAATATTATAGCTCTTAAAGTGGCTATGTTAGTGCTGAATAGGCTTACACGGCAAAACGGTGCCACTAATAAAAAAGGAAGGGGAAGCTTTTAAGTATTACGCATAGTGCTAGTACTTGAACGCATGCTGTACCTAGAGGTTAAGTACTTTCAATTATCACTTTTAAGGCCCTATAAACATTACAAAATAGTTACCTGGCAAGCAAGAACCACACACTTTGACAAAGACTTAACAAGGACGAGTGGATCTGGAGCCATGTGCTGTCTCCCTGATTTCAGAGGGAGGGACTGACAAGTGGATTAGCCAATCAGAGACGCATGCTCCATTCACGTCAAAAACAAGCATGGTTGAACATAAAGGACTGAGAAACAGCATGGATTTTCCCAGAATCAACAATCAAAACACCAAACTATTGCTTATCTCAGGTAAGAGAAGTGTTTATTTGGTTTTAATGTAACAAGAATTTTCTAGAGGATGTGTCTTCTGCATTTGAGAGCTATATGCTACAAATTAGTAGCCAGGCTGGCAAGTGCAAGTTTGGACACCAGCCAATCAGCAAACAATCAAATTCAGTGTTGTTAACGATTCTTGAGATCGAGGATTTAAGGCCAGAATAAAGAGAATGGTTGGTGAACTTCATCAAGGGGAAAGACGTTATTGCCCTTCTTCCTACGGGATTTGGGAAAAGCTTAATATACCAGTTAGCCCCGTTAGTGGCACATTACATACGTCACAACCAAATAGTTAAATACTTAAATGATTAAAAAGTACCCGCCTACCGTCAAGTGAACGAACTCTAAGGCTGCGAGGTCGGCTGATGAATCAGGCTAACAAATTAGTAGCTGGGGTTGGACAATCTCGAGTTTGGTCCGATTCCAGACCGTTCTAGAATGCAGAAGGGACTGATTGGTCAGGCAAACAAAACAGGGCACTAAAGGATATACATTCCTACAACTACAGCTACTTTCTTATTTTGGCCAAAGTGATAAAAATCTGCTCTCTATGGCCTAGCATGCTGTTCTGAAAGAGATACTATCTGGCAAAAACAGTTGGAAGAAGAGGTGGAATAGAAGGCAAAGTTGGCTCGGGAGGGAGCTAAAGCAGTCACCCCGTGCGGCCTGTGCTTTCTGGCCTGTCTAGGCAGTAAACAGGCAGGGATCCCCGGTGCTTTGTGCTCCAGCAGCTCCACTGATTGTTAAAACTGTCTATCACACAGGCGGCTGCACCCTCACTGCTAAACAGACAAAGTGCACAGGCATCTGTCCCACCACGAGCTCCTCCTAAACATCCCTGAGCTGCGTGCCCAGGGACCCCATTCCACCCCCATCCACATGTCACAGCTTCTTCAGAAACTGCCAAGAACTCAGTACACTCTTACAGTCATCTGCAATTCGGCAGAGGCGACATCTAATTTATGACAAGATTAGAGGCATTTCCAAATGTCATAAGAACTTTTTGTTATAACACAAAACTAAAAATCACAATCACATTTTTATACAGCACTTTTCCACCTTCAAGGCACTTTACATCAAGGAACCACTCCTCCATTCACAGACATTCATCAACCAATGTACGCAGACAATAGAGGAGAAGTGGGCAAAGTGTTTTGCCCAAGGAAACAACGTCAGCATTCATCTGTGGGAGCTGTAATCACACTACCAACCTTTGGATGAATGGATTTGATCGCTCAACCAACGATGTTTATGTCGAGAGCAGGATTTGGACCGCCAACCTTCAGCTCAATGGACAAGCAGGTGATGGCAGTGGGCCAAGTTATAGATCATATCTATGGAGAGGCGACCTTGCTCACAGTAAGAACGCATGTTTTTCACAGCACATTTGAGCAATATTTATAACTGAATAAACGCAAGTTAGATAAATGATTGTGGAACATTACAGGCAAGGCAATAACATTATAATGACATAATGAAATTTCCATGGCGACAAACCCCAATAGAAAAGTTACATACTGCACCTTTAACTTTGATCTAATAAAACATTTCGTTGTCTTGATTTAGTCTTAGTTTTCCACACAACTAATAAACACTCCTTATCATTGTGCAGGAACTGAGGGCTTTTGGAAATCTAACCATCTTGATATTTATGAGAAAAAGCGATGCATTAATCTGGCACGGTCTCCCCTTACAAGTCGTTTCATTTGCAGTATGTGCTGATGTAGGAGCAAATATATTACGGTAAGTAGACAGGAAGGAAATAGCATCAGTGGGATTGTAAGTCTACAGTAAGTTATGAAACTGGCATCAATTTATCCTTTAATAAATTGTGCAGGCTGCTGCTTACACGGACAACTCTGCAAAGAAGTGTCACTACAGCTGTCAAAACAACAAA